TAACACAAGTCAAAAGCATGGTTCCAAAGGCCGTTCCCTCAAAGCATGGTGGTGTTCAAGAGCCCCGTTTCCAAAACGATTTCGGATCTCACATCACCGTACCTTCGAGATTACCTCTTGCAAGGACCCTTAACACAAGTCAAAAGCATGGTTCCAGAGGCCGTTCCCTCAAAGCATGGTGGTGTTCAAGAGCCCCGTTTCCAAAACGATTTCGGATCTCACACCACCGTACCTTCGAGATTGCCTCTTGCAAGGACCCTTAACACAAGTCAAAAGCATGGTTCCAGAAGCCGTTCCCTCAAAGCATGGTGGTGTTCGGGAAAGGAATAAAAGCCACGCTTCCAAAACGATTTCGGATCTCACACCACCGTACCTTCGAGATTGCCTCTTGCAAGGACCCTTAACAGAAGTCATCATGGTTCCAGAAGCCGTTCCCTCAAAGCATGGTGGTGTTGAGGAAAGAAAAAAGCCACGCTTCCAGAGCGATTTTGGATCTCACACCACCGTACCTTCGAGATTGCCTCTTGCAAGGACCCTTAACACAAGTCACAATCATGGTTCCAGAAGCCGTTCCCTCAAAGCATGGTGGTGTTTAGGAAAGGAAAAAAAGCCACGCTTCCAAAACCATTTCGGATCTCACACCACCGTACCTTCGAGATTGCCGCTTCCGAAGACATTTACGCAATCCAAAATCATCTTCGACCGATGGTTGCCCCGCAGGGCACGAAATTTTTGTCATCATGCCGCCGTGCCCATACAAGCGTTGGACTTATCTCACATCAGTTAGTGAGAATACGCATCACCCGAGCGTGCACATTGCTTCATAGAATTGCGCATCAGCGACGTGACGAAAGTTCGAATCAGTACAAGCCAACCTCTGCTGGTTGTACGAACGCGCGTGCGGTTTCATAGCCAAATCACCCTTTAGATACCACGGCCCAACCCCATGGCACAAGGTAGCCCGACTGTCAAGAAGATAGCCCAGCCAGGCAGGCACACGAGGCCCAAACCATCCGACATTCATAAGACAAAAATTCATTATTCAAACTCAATAAAACGCATGTTTTGTGGAGGCTCCTGCAAGTTACACCGAGATTTCAGTACACCGAGATTTCAGATCCGCGACAAAGGGTCGGGCACAGTAGCTCCTACTGAGCTTCCGTAAGAATCCTGTGCAAGCATCAAATGCGCTCCCGGTTTGGAGACTTTCAGCTGGGCACAGCCAGCACAACCACAGCAAAGCTAAAGGTATGTTTTGCAGTGCAGACAAACGTCCGTAGCCAGCATCCGCCAGCCCTAAGACGGCACACCTTCGAGTTTTGTTACTGTCCAGAGCAGGCTCGCGGTTTCTTCGTTGGAGCTTTCTTCGGGAGACAGACCAAGGCACGTACCACTTACTGCCCTCAGCTCTCGATTCCGAAAACTTATGTTGACTATCGACATCGCTATGTTCTTTGGTTGCCTCTGCATTTTCCAATTATGGTCGTCTCCAGTTGTGCTTTTTTCCCCAAGGTACGCATTTTACTTTCAAGCTGGGACACTCATGCAAGAAGACACTCTATCCCTGAGCGCCGGAATTTCAAATTTACGTCAATCTGAACGATACCTTGGTGTGACTTGAAGCCACATGCTCGTCCCAGTCGATTTGTACGTTTTCACATAATTGGGCCTGGTCCACGAAGCCAATCCCGAACCAGCGTCTGGCTTTGGCATGCTTTGGCAAAGCTAGGGGTGTAGATTGAGCGCTTGCAAACAGCGTGGAAATCCGTCCCCGAAGGAACACGGCGATTGGCACACAGTTTCTGGCAGCGGGACAAGAACCTATGTTGTTACCTCAAACCTTCATCTGTAAACCATAGACCCTTGCCCCCTATAGTCTCCCTACACCATCAACACACAATCTAAACTGT